CTTTAATGTCTGTACTCCTGAGATTTACAGAGGAAAAATGGTGAGAATGAGTTTAGATTCAGCTCTGACTGATTAAACCACAGATACTTCATGTCTCCTGACAAACTGGTTACACTGGGTGGAGCGGTCGACCGTTCCAAGATGGCGGTGATATGATCAGTATGTGAATGGACACACGGAACCTTTGCGTTTCAATGTTTCTGACGGATTGTTTACAGAGTTGCCACAAGGGGAAGTTATGTCTTGGCAGCGGAAGTTGTGATTTGAGTTCAGCGCGTGAACAAAGAGGAGCAGGATGTTTGCGGGGCTGCCTGAGCTGGGGATAGCCAACGGAGAGGACCTTAAAGAAACTCTCACGAACTGCACGGAGCCTCTGAAGGCCATCGATCAGTTCCAGGTACGGTCCGTTCGATGAGGGACGGGCTCGTCACGTGGCCTTCACTGCTGCAGCCTAACAACACCCCTACAAACACGCGCACTTCACAACACTCATCATCAAATAACGCTTTATGCACAACTTTTATGCTTTGTCCTTTTACCGCTTCTGCGCATGCGCAGTACTCGCTATCAAAGGATGTAACGTTTGTCTGCCGTGTTAGTAAAATATCTCATGAACCACCGGACGGATTTGATTGAGACTCTCGGGAAGTAATCAGTGAATGTTCTTCTATATCTTTCTACAAACTGAACTCAATCCATTGGAGACGGCGCCACACACAGATGTGTGACCTCTGACCCAGTCACCTGACAGATGTTGAGACAGACTTGGTGTCAGAGTCAATTAGTTGTGTCAGTTTTTGTGTTTAAACTTGCTGTGTTAGCACAACTTCTCACATCTATGTGAAGAACTGGGGCCGTTGAACCTGAAGGATGGCTGCAGCTCAGCTTGACACACTTGATCACTGGTGTGGTAGTAGCTGAGACTAGTTCTTTGATCCCTGGTGTGGTAGTAGCTGAGACTAGTTCTTTGATCACTGGTGTGGTAGTAGCTGAGACTAGTTCTTTGATCACTGGTGTGATAATAGCTGAGACTAGTTCTTTGATCACTGGTGTGGTAGTAGCTGAGACTAGTTCTTTGATCACTGGTGTGGTAGTAGCTGAGACTAGTTCT